CAGTCCTTTCTTTATAATCATTTGCAATTTGCAACATGGGAACATTTTTTTTTTGAGTTGTCTGAGCTGCATGTTCCCATATAAGTTCAAACAAGAAACCATTCTCCTACTGTTATCAGCACCCATATGGTAAACAAGAGTCCTTCCTGGGCACTGTTGGGTGCCACCTCTTCTGTATTTCTTTGCTCCTTTTATTCAGTGATTTTGTGTTTTAGATTGGCCCTTGAGTATTCTGCTGAAGTGCTGTCTAGTGCTCCTGAGCGCCAGAGAGCTGTCAAGTGCCTTCTGGAAAACACACAAGTTAGGCCAGCTTCACTGGGCTTGAGTTACATGCTAAAGGAAGACCCTGGGTTTAGTGGCAATGAATCAGCAAGTAACTCAAGGTGTGTGTGAATAGGAACACATATAATCAAAGGTATAAGGTTTTATATATTGATGAGGTGACAAATCTGAGACTCACAGGGCCACATGCTGGAGAGCTCCTCTGAGCAATGGCTCAGTGTTTGCTAATTCATGTTAGGGACCTTTTAGAACAGAACAACTTACATGATGAGGGATCGAATCTTCATTCTTACACAGGCAGACACATATGCCTATGTGACTGGAATATACCTCCCATAGTCTTGGCTCTTACTTTTATCCTATATTTATAAGTATGTCAAAGGCATCTTTCTATATCCATAAAAAAGGCTCTCCTCTCCCCATGACAATATTCAGAGCATCTGAGGCTGAGAGGCTGAGGGGCTGTGGCCTTGAGGGTCCAGTGTACAGCGAGGGTCCAAGCCCTCACTAAGTCAGGATAGTCCCTAGAAAACTCTTTTCTCCAGAGCAGCTGTGTTGCTGCTGCTGTGAATTGTTCCTGAAAGGCATCAGCCAGAGTCAAAGAGCCACTGTCAGGCAGGGAATGTGTTACACAGGCTGTATTGTGACCATGAGGCTGGGAAGGGGACGAGGAAGATGGACGGTCTGTCCTGGAAAGGGGGGAGGGTAGGGGCTGGTCTTTAGCAGGCATCTGGGGAGTTCCCCTCCCAGCTTCCTCAGGTAGAGGCTTTCTGACTTGCCCTGCAGCCACCTCCTGGACCTGAGGCCCAGCAACCTCTTTATTTCCCACTGGCTGCCAGCTTCCAACAAGTCTTGGCCAATTGAAGCTCCAGCTTATGAAAGACCATGGATTAGGGGCCAATACACACACTGTCCAGCCCAGTGCAGGCCCAGGGATCTGTAGGTGAGTAGTCCAAGAATCTTCCTCCTTGTGGAAGTCCATCTGGGCAAAGAGGCAGCTCATAAGGAAAGCCTCCATGCCCCAACCCCCACCCCCTGCAAATGTCAAGATAAAGACATCTAAGCACTGGAGAACTCAGGGTTGGGGTGTCCACAGACAGTTTACATTCAGGGGGCAAAGGGAAATCTTTCTGTATACAGTATAAAGTAAGAATTCTCCATGATTCAGTGTGTGTTTTATTTATCTTTGGTACTTGGTTGTGATCTTAGGGTCTTGTGCTCTAGCTTGGCTTTCTGCTTAGGAATAGTGCTATACCACTTAAACCACAGTTCTACTTTTGCTAGTTAAAAATTGGAGATGAGACTCTCATGGACTTTTCTGCCTCAGCTGGCTTTACGTTGTGATCCTCAGACCTCAGCCCCCTGAGCATCTAGGACTACAAATGTGAGCTACCACCACCTGGCTCAACTTGTGTTTTAAAACAGACCAGTTGGGTATAGTTATTTTCAATAAATTTGTGCCTTTTTTTCCTACTAGCTGTGGCTCAAACACAAGGTTTCACACATGCTAGACCAGTGCTCTGCTGCATGGTTGCATTCCTATCCCAAACATGAATTATTTGGGGTGAAAATTAAAGCATCCTCATTTTGGATGAAAAAATACAGACCAGAAATGAATGGCTCTATACCTGGCTAAGCTGCTTTCCTACAGGGTGCTGGAGAGAATCAGAGAATTCTAATGAGAGATACAGGTTGACGGTTCCCACTCAAATCTCCCTGTCACTGACTTGCTTTGTAACCAGAAGCAAGTGACTTTCTCCTCCCAAGCCTCTCTCCTCTCACCTATAAAACAGGAACACTGTCACCAAATACACAGGGCCTTGCCGGAACAAAGTGAAACATCTAGAAGCACTGTTCCTTTGTACATACTTGATAAATGTAAAGCATTTGGTTCCAGAAGCACGAGGTTCCAGAATGTTCCACACCCACTCATGAGGATAGTCCAGGCCTCCGTACCCCCCAGCCACATCTGGAGAAGTCTCTCCCAGCTATTTCAGCTCAAGCCAAAGCCTGTCCTGTACAAACACAGCCCCATCCAGAGACGCAGCCCCCATGTGCATTGGGTGGGCCGCCTGCTCCGGGTGCAGCTTGCTGGGCCATGAGTGCAAATAACCACCCCTTCCTGGGGTGAAAAGGAACAGGGAACTGGCTTGTTCTCCGAGAGCAGAGTGCTGGCTGGCCACGAGGAACATTTTAAGGTGGGACGCTTCTTCCTGTACCGTTGGCAGCTGTCTACATAAGGCGTCCATTATGTTTGGGCCCCAAGGCCAGAGGACCCCAGAGGCCAAGCTAAAATTAGTGTCCACTTGTGCACTGGCCAGAGACACGAACATCCGAAGGTCAGATGCTTCCAACCAGCCGACCTGGCAGGAGGGGAGCTGCACAGCTGCGGCCTCCTGCTCTCCCAGACTCAGGGACAGACAGCCCTGCCCTGCGCCCTGCCCTGCCTAGCAGCCTGACTCAACAGCCCAGCCTGGGGTAAAAATTAGACTGCAGACCATAATTCCAAGCATGCGTGCACGCGCGCGCGCGTACACACACACACACACACACACACATACTTTAAAAACATTGCATATACATCCACAGGAATAAAGGGAAGAGAGAAGTTCACTGTCTCAATCATGACTGTGCAATATTAGGCAAATTAGTTTCTTTTTCCTGTATTTTCATTTTCCCTTTCTTCCTTCCTTCCTTCCTTCCTTCCTTCCTTCCTTCCTTCCTTCCTTCCTTCCTTCCTTCCTTCCTTCCTTCTTTCCTCCCTTCTCTCCCTCTCTTACTTTTTTGCCTCCCTTTCTTCTCTTCCCCCACCTTCCTTTCCTGAACTAGGATTTGTGTTTAGGGCCTTGTGTTTCCTAGGTTGGTACTCTACCACTTGAGTGACTCGTCCAGCCCTATGTTTTCACTGGTTATTTTTGAGATGAAGTCTTTTGAACTTTTCTGCGGAAGCTTGGCCTCAAATGCTGATCCTTCTGTTCCCAGCCTCCTGAGTAACTCAGAGTACAGGCACAAATTATTGGTGCTTGGTCAAATTTTTCTTAATATGTATTACTTGTGTACTCAGAAGAAAACACAAGAAACCATAAATTATATATTTACATTAAATATACAAAAATGATTAAATTGTGAATGCCTTCAGGCATGGAGTGACTTTGGCTAGCTGGCTAGCAGCATACTGCCCCCGGCTCCTAGCTGTTATTCAGTAGGGTGTGTGTGTGTGTGTGTGTGTGTGTGTGTGTGTGTGTGTGTGTGTGTGTGTGTGTGTGTGTGTGTGCGCATGCATAAGCTGGTACTGGGGCTAGAACTAAGGTCAGGTTCTGGGGCATTATCCTTAGCTTTTTCAATCAAAGCTGGTGCTTTACCATTTGAGCCATAGCTCAACTTCTGGCTTTTTTGGTCATTAATCATAAATAAGAGTCTCATAGCCTTTTCTGCGTAGGCTGGCTTAGAGCCATGATTCTCAGATCCCAGCCTCCTGGGTTACAGGTGTCTGGCTTCAGTAGGTTCTAAGACGAGGCACCTGCTCTTAGCTTTCAGCTTGTCCTGTAGTCAGAGGCCCTTTTCAGAATCAAGGAGCTGATTGATGACTTTCAAGCAAGATCTAATCCCAACTCCCTAGCACATCACTCAGTCTTCCACCCTTTTCCAGCCTTTACTGTCTTGTGTTAACCACTGAAACTTTGCACTTGATGTCCTTTCAGCCCATGGGGCTTTCTTTCTTGGAGAGAAGTACCTGATAAACTTCTATTCATCCTTCAAAGCCCAGTTCAAGTATCACCTTTAAATTGTCTCTTCCAGATCATTTTCACAATCAATCCAGACAGAACAGATCTAATCACAAGTTCACAGAGGGAGGAATTTGCCTTCCTTCTAGAAAATTCTGCTTAAAGTTAACCTTAGACATAGGTAACCACTTTACCTCCATGAATACCCTATTCTGCTTCACAGATTTTTGCTGTTCTATAGCAATTTACGGATGGAATGGAAGTTTCTAGAAGGCAATGTCATGACTCATTTGCACTATGTCTCAGTGCATAGCACAGAACAGAGCCCAGAAGGCAATAAAAGATGTCTAGAGGAGAGGCTATGAGAGGGCAGGTATGGGGCTGGTGGTTGTCTTCAAGCAGGGTTTTCTAGAATGCACGTCCTTCAAGGAAGCACATGTACACTCATAAGCACACACTGGAACTTATGTACATACACAGTGCACATCCAGCCCAGTGTGGGGCTCTCTGTGGGCGGGAGGCCCATGGAGTGATTAAGTAGGAGGCTGAGTCCTGGGGCAGAGTCAGCTGGCTGTAGTGCTGACCACTGCCCTCCCTCTCTTCCAGAAGCTGGAGCTTCCATTAGCTGCTTTAATGCCTGCCCCATTCTCTGAGTCTCACTGTCTCTGCCTACAAACTGAGAAGGAGACACAGAGAGGCAGGTGCTTGCTGGGAATTTTCCTGACAGGGAAAGTTATCTCTGGGGTCAGAGCCAGCTCCCTAGACCCTGCTCCAGGATTCTGCAATCCTTATATGCAGCTATTAGCAAAATCACCAGCTATAGGATGATGGATGTCTGAGTAATTTTTTCCCCCTCAAGTCTGGGGGAGCCTGGGCTTCCTTTCTCTTAACTAAGGCTGCATCCATCTTTATCTCAAGGCCTGGCCACAAGACATGGCCTGGTGGTTTTGGGGCTGTATCTATGGTAGTGGTGAGGAGCTGGGAGGAACTTACCTGTCAGAAGGCAGCCGTGATCTCATGGTTGACATGTGCAAGAGATGTCTAAGAGCTTCGAAGACTGTGTTGGGGAAGGCCTGTGGGAAGTGGAGAAGTGAGAATATTATACCTCCACCATCTGTCAACTTCCCCTGGAGTGTGAAAAATGCATTGGAGAAATTGGGAAGCGCAGCCTTGTTGAGAGCAAAGCCCAGCCACCACCCTTGCCCACCAAAGCCATGCTTCTCTCTCCCTGGCCATATGACCACAGCCTTGTCACCCTTGGCACAGAGTGGGACATCATGGGCCCCCACCCTGTGGACCCACAGACATCCCCAGGTCTGCTGTAGGCCTGGATTCTCACTTTCATGTCCTCCATAGGAAAACGCCTCAACTAGCTATTTTAATCACTCACTCTTTCTCCCATTATTTATTCCTTCCTTTGAGCACCCAGTGACCATCTGGGAAGCCGTTAAATGCTAATTTCATGTCTTATGGAGTCATTGAAAGTGACAGCTCAATTCTAGTCAGAGAGGCAGGTTAGACTCTGCTCCAGCTTCCACACACCCAGCTTGGAGAGTGGCCCACTTAGCTGGACACAGGATGAAGGGTTTTGAACCTGTTGTATAGGGTGCTGCCAATACTGTCAGCACATAGGTCTCTTTGTTTTCATGCACATGTGGGTGCGCACCCATGTGTGTGCGTGTGTGCGTGCACGTGTGTGTATGTGTGTGTGTGTGGGGGGGGTTGGTCCTAGGGCTTGAACTAAGGGTCTGGCACTGTCCCGAGCTTTTTTTGTTCAAGGGTAGTGTTCTACCACTTCAACCACAGCTCCATTTCTGGCTTTTTGGTAGTTATTGGAAATAAGAATCTCCCAGAATTTCCTGTCTAGGCTGGCTTTGAATCTCAACCTTCAGAACTTAGCCTTCTGAGTAGCTAGGATTATAGGAGTGAGCCACTGGCATGCAGCATATGGGCCTCTTTTAAGTGAAAATATTTCTCAAATCATCTCTGAATGGTAACTGCATACTTAGGAAGAAACAATACAAAAGCTGCAATGAACATAATGTTTTACAATTAACTTGTATTTTAGTAATCACAGCATCTACCACACTCATTCAGGGTGTTACTTATGTCTCTTGGGCTTGAGGCTGTGTGCCCTGGAGGATCTATCAATTCAATATTCATTTAACAGGTATTTATGGGGCCTCTGTGAGGTGCCAGCCCTGCAGGACTCCTGAAACAGGAGGAGCGGCAGCTCTTTGGTAAGGCCTGCTGAAGCTTGTGCCTGGTTCAATCAGGGCATGAGCTCTGGAGTGGGCCATTCAGTGTTCTCAGGAGTAAAATGGAGAATAATCCTGAACACAGGAAGATGTTATAGGGATAAAATGAGAACGTAGAAAGCACCCAAGGTTAGGATTTGGCCCAAAGCAGATACTTAGCCAAGAGGCACCAAATGATTGTCATAAACATAATCACAACCATCATATCATCTCATCATTAGACCTATCACCTACCTCCTCATTATCATCTCATCTCCATCACTACCACCACCATCACCATCATTATGAATGCCATCATCAACACTGTGAGTAGGACCAACAATGGCAGCATCCCCATCCCCATCATTACCCTCTTTCCACCTTTCTGGCCCCCAAGAGGCCTGTCCTTGGCCCTCTTGAGGATGTATAGTATTTCTTCTATTGTAAGAGTCATATGCATCTACATCTTCTTTCTCAAATTCATGCTTAGCTCTGTAACTTCTGAGTTGTGTGAAGTTGGGGTGACTTACTTAACCAAACTAAATCTATTTCCCTGTATGTAAAATGATTCACAGAACTTTTAGTGATTCGCACAATTGTGATGATGAAATAAAATGATAGACATAAAATCTCAATAGAATACCTGACCTGTGGCTGGTACTTAGTCATTGCTGGCCATTATTGCCTATGCTGTTATTATCAATACTGTGGCTTTTCATACCTTATGTGGCCTGGAGGGCAGAGATCATTCCAGATTCATTCTCATTTCCCCATGGTCAAGCATAGGTTTGCCTCTCAAATGAATGATTGATAAAGCAGTATTGGAAGCACAACTCAAGGGACAGTAGCATGGGCATTGGCAAGCAGAAAGAGACTTGCTGTGGTTCCAATAAACACCAACAGATGACCAAAGGGCCACTTGTCACTCACAGAGCTAATCTGCACAGCTGCTAGGACCATTCATTCATTCATGAAGTGGACATTAAGTTTTTACATGACTCCGAGAACAACCCCTTACTTGGTGTTTTTTTCTACTTTGAAATCTTGTCCCTATTGCCACTTCATTTAGCCACCACAAAAAGGGAGATAGAATAGGTGCCGATGACTCATTTTGTGAAAAAAAAAACAGAGGCTCAGCAAAGTGAGAGGCCTTGCCAAAGGCACTCAGAAGTCAAAGCTATAGTATAACATGGACCCATTGCACACAACAAGGTCATTCCACTGTGACTTTGACCCTTTCCTGCTGGCCCCGTGATACCAAGCACTTTTCAATCATTTTCATTGCCCAGTTGCTTCATAGCAAATAAAATGGCATTAAGTTGTTGTGTTATTTTAACGTGCATTTTTAAAAGAAAGAAGCCAAGTTCCATGAAGGTAGGAAATATGAGAGCCACAAAAGCACTGAAACAGTTAGACAATATGAATTCTGATCTCAGACTGCCTGAGTTCAAGTTCTAGTTTTGACATTTAATAACTATGGGAACTTGGGCAGACTATTTAAACTTTCTGGTCCTACGTTTCTTCGTCTATAATAAGATGGTACTACAGGGGTGCTATAAGGATTAAATGAGCAATCTATTTACAGTGCCTTGAACAGTAGCTTGTACCGAGTAAGGCTTGGGTGTAATGATTATTCTTCACAATACATTAGTTGCTTAGCATAAGGCCTGACTCATGCAAGAGTTCCAATAAACATTTATTAGGTGGCTGAATGAGTACAGTTCTCCCCTGGAGAGAGGTGAGCTAGAACCTGGCTCCTGGCAATTCAGGGTCCCCAGCTCCTCATTCCCAGCAGCTCCAGGTGAAGGGAGACATCTTTCCAGGCCTCATAGCCCTTCCTGCTCCTCCAAGCTGCTTTTTGTCCACGGCCTGGTTATATTTATGGCAAGAGGTGAGGATTTCAGGTTCCAGAGTCAGACTCGGTCATCTGTCACACACTAGCTGTGCACTTGCCTCAGCTTTCTGCTCTGCAAAATGGGAACACCCACACCTACTCAAAATGCCATATATGGGATATGTCAAAAGTGACAATGAGCTTAATAAGGACCCCAGCCACTGACCCCAGTGCAACTCATTAGATGGTCAGCTCATTTTACGCTACCGTGTTGCTTCTCATGGGCTTTGGGTTCTTCTCCAGGGAAACTGTTAGGTAGCTCAGTCTCTGCCCTCTAGGGCCACAGACTGCTATGAAAAGGCAAAGTTTCCATTTATCCCCAGTGTGGGCTCTCCTCTCAGAGGAGAGGCGGCTGCTGGGGAAACAGCCCTCTCCCTTAGGGGCAGGGAGGTCCTCAGAATGTACGTACACAGGAGTTCCTCCTAAGTGCCTGGGCCAGGAGCCAGCTGGCATGCAGCTGCCTGTAGGCCACCCAGTCCCTATGGTGGCTACAGACCCTTCCTGCTCTCAGCTGCCCCTACCAAGCCTTGAGGCTGGTGGACTGTTGTGCTGATTGGAAGGAGTGAACATTCACTAAGCCAGAAGCCTCATATCCTTGCCTAATTTTATCTTTACCAGAGCCTGTAAGGGCCAGAGGGTACCCTGACCTCCATAGGAGGTCTGCAGTGCTGAGACCCTGGACACACTAGCCTTCCTTGCCTCAGTTTCTTCATCTGTGAGCCCCAGTAGATAGCGCTGCTCATTCAATCCTTTGCAGAGAAAGAAGATGAACCATAGAGACAGAATTGAATTAAGATCACTTAACTAACAAGTGCAAAGCTGAAGCTGTGGACTTCAAATTTCCATCCATCCATCCATCCATCCATCCATCCACCCACCCACTCACCTATTAATCTATCTATTCACCCACTCATTGCTTTTAGGACCCATCATACAGTAGCAATGATACATATATTAATCACTCTTTCAAAATATCTACATTATCTATTTCCCATTACTCCGAAAACCCTAGCATTCACAGCAATTCAACTTAACAAAGTCACATGAAGTGCTTCTGCATGCCAGGCACTGTGCAAGGTTCCAGTATGAAGGAGCCTTTTTGACCATCCTGTGCACTTAACCTCTGTTCTTCCTTTTAGAGATGACAAACTGGACAGTTTGAAAAGACAAGAGGGGCCGGGAAGGTGGCTCAGTGATAGAGCACTTGCCTTGCATGCATGAGGCCCTGGGTTCGATCCCTCAGCACCACATAAGCAGAAAGAAAAAAGCCAGAAGTGGCGCTGTGGCTCAAGTGGTAGAGCGCTACCCTTGAGCTGGAGAGCTGAGGGACAGCGCCCAGGCCCAGAGTTCAGGCCCCACGACCGGACCAAAAAAAAAAAAAAAGACAAGAAAACTTGCCTAAGCTAATACACTTGGATCCTGGATGAAAACTTACATCCACATCACATCACTTCTAGCTTTCCTAGGAAGAAGTCAAAGAAAGAAAACTCTAAGCAAATTCCATGAGATATCATTTATAGTCATGGAACATTAAATGTTAAAAGCACATGCAAGCTGGTTCCTGCTTCCCTTAGGGTGTGTACCCTCACACCCCAAGCACGCTCACTGCCCCTGGGACATCATGGCAGCTGGCATTTGGTTACCGAGCATCTGGTTGCTGCCAGGGACTAGGCTAAGAATGTTGCATGGATGGTGGCACTGAACCTCTGCAGAGTACTGCATACTCCCACTTTACAGCTAGGAAGGCTAAGTCCAAGAGATTAGCCAGCTTCTCAAATATTACACAACTGGCAAGAAGAGGTGCCTGGGTGGCGACCTAGCTAGCTCTTTTCTTTGGATTCTGCTCGGCCACCCCCAGGCTGATCTCCTAGTGACTGTCCTGTGATAGGCATGGCTGGTCTCAAGTTTCTAGCTTCCTCTCCTTTATAGCACTTGAGGCACT